GTTGAGAACCAGAGCAGACTTTAAGAATGAAGGTGTGGTTGTACTTTTCCTTAGCACCCTATACTTGCACCTAAAAATAGTTTTGATAACCACACTGGACTGAGAGAAATCCTCACAAAACCTCCAGTCATGTGACTCAATATATGAGAAGGACTGTACAATCCTGTACACAGGAAATTACTGGATGTTATGCTTTGGCCTTGAGCATGGCAGAGAGGAGATAAACAGCAGCAAAACTTCTGGTACTACTTCATATCTGCATTTCTTTGAGCAACACCAGTGAAGACATGGATTTGTTACTATGCTACGCTAGCAAGGTATGCCTCTGGATTTCACAGAAAATAAGCCACAGTTGATTTCCCCCAAACTGCCCACTTATGTAGACTATGCTATGTTATGCTATGTTATGATGACTTTGTGTCTCCTGAAATGTATGAAAAGTTTCCTGCAGCACAAACCAACCAAATATTGAAAAGAAAGAAAATCATCATCATGTCAAGCAGAACTATACTAACTTTCACATGGGCTGCCTGGACTGAGTGGTTAGGATGGCTCTGACTGGCAAAGCGGAACTCCACCAGCGGAAGAATTCCATCTGCCCCACAGCCCAGTTCCACCAGCAGAAAGCAGTGAACTTCCATGTTCCCAGCAAGAGGAGCTGTTGAAAGGCCCTGGAATTCACTCCCCAAAGAGGTCCACCTGGCACCGTCGTTACTGGTTTTTCGGCGCCAGGTAAAGACCTTTTTATTTAAACATCATTTCAATTGTTAAAACATATGATCTGGCCTGGGCAACTTCTTCTTCCTTCTCTTTCTCCTCCTATATTTTTATTTTATACTGATAATTTTAATTTTGTATTTGTAAATCAATGTATTTTTTGTATTTTTATATTTAATAGTAATTTATTATGTACTATTGTATTTCAATGTATTTTATCATGTTGTAAGCCGCCCCGAGGTTTCGGCAAGGGGCGGCATAGAAATGTTATAATAATAATAAAATAATAATAATAATATTCCCAATGTTTTACACGTGCTTGTTTCATGGAAACAAGACAGTGACAGTGACACACTTTGGAAGCTGCCAACTGCCCCACCAGTCGACAATCACACTTAGGGTTCTCCTGAAATGTTTGTGTATTTTACAACACTGTTTCTTGGTGTCAAGGAACATGCCACAGATCTGCTGCATCATGCTATCCATTTGATTAGCTTTTTTCACTGAGTAGTCACATTACTTTTACCATATGGTGGTCTAAGGCCCTGACAGCATGGATGTATAAAACCTCTCCATGTTGGCCATCTATTTGCCAGCCATTTAATTACCATGATGTCAATTTGGGGGAAAAAACTCACCCTAAGCCATGCTTAAGGAAGCTTATCTACTTCTTAATGATCTGTGACATGCTGGCAAAACAGAATCAGAACTTAAAGCATAAAGTAAATTAGAAAACCATGATTTGTCCTGTCTACGGTTTAGCTGGTGTCTGAAATAAAATACTATAGCTGCAGCTGATGCTCTGCTTCTGGAGAAAACTTTTGCAAGCTGCTGCTCTGCCAGGCTGGCTGGAGTGATGGGAATTGTAGTCTAACATTTCTGGGAGCACCAGGTTGTGGAAGGCAGATTTAGAGGATGTTGACCACAGGAGCTGAAAGCTTTTAAGGGGTAGGAAATATAATCAAGTAAGAAGCTGCAAACAGTGAGCGCTCCATTGTTTGTGTTCTAAATTAGGGCTAGAGTGAAAGAAATGTCTGAAGTGAGTGAGCACTGCACAGTCCGACTTCTTGTCTGTCAAAGGAGTACACTAAATTAATATTTTCTACTGAAAGGAAGATATTGATAATTCGTAGTGTACTCTCAAAGCTTGAATTAAAGTATGAAAAATTAGAAAGCATGTTCAATATCTTAATCTCTTTAGCTTATGTCTGGGTAAGGAATTCTTGCCAGCTAGAACTTTTCCATGAAATACTTTCTTATTAACAAAGTTGGTAATTTCTTCCTTGTAGTTCTGTATTTATTTGTAATCCTTGAAAAAAGAAGGGAAGCATGATATACTCTGAATGTGTTGGGAGACTTCTGAACGTCCAGATTGGTATTAGCCATCATGATACTGGGGGCAGGATGAAAAATTGTAGAATGAACTGGCTGTTTCCAGCTGTTTTTCAGTTGTATTCTTTACCTCCTAGGTGTGGCTAAGCCTGCAGAAAGTGCCATGTGAAAGGGTAGGTAAGTGATGCCTATGCAAGTGTACACAAATATCCTGACTGCCTTGATTCTGTAAAAGTCTTTAAATAAATTAATCATTCTGGCTTAGCTTGTTTTATACACAATAATTAATCTTTTAGCATTCTCTCTCATGCATGACAGCTACCTATTTGAAATTTCAGTACAGTTTGCAGGTAAACTGTTATTAGTTCTAAAATATATTTTATTCCACTGCCCAGCTTGCCTGTTTTTCTGACACTGGTTCTTGCTTGTGTACTAAATACAATAAATGTGTGTAAACTTGAAGTGAAGGAGTATTACACAATGTAGTAGCTAAGCCCTAATGAAAATATATACTCAATTGCAGTGTCAGGGTGGGAGTGGGGCTTATCTTTTTTGTAATCTTTGTTACCCTGTTATTCACCATTGACAAACTGCACTGCATATATGCAAACACTGGAGATAGAGGGAAAATTCCTAGGTCAGATATTAGAGCCACAGTCAATTGATACAGTATATGAAATAAGAACTGCAGTGAGGTTTCTCTGAGATGGAGAAGAAAATTAACCCAGCATCCTGAAGGATCTATATCTTTGGGTTAAGCAGAAAGCTTAATCGTAGATTATACTGATCATGGATGCCAGCAGGACCTCACAGTAAAAGAACTGAACCACTTCCACATCTGCCTAGCTTTGGAGCACTTGCAAATGCTGCCTGTTAAGTGTGATATGTTTCAAAGTCCTACGTTGCTCAGTGGAACTTTTAAGGATGGTTTACTGCATTCTCCATTTGACTGTTTTGTTTTAAAGTTGTACATTTCCATGGGGTCTATTTGAGCACAAAGTCAACTTATAAATATTGTGCAATATCCTATGCTGTCACAGCAGCAGGACTAATTGCACTGTGCTCACATAAAGCTACATTAGCGCAATATCATTAGTACTTGGTAGACAAAGGGAAAAAGCAGCAATTTGCCTGTCCATTTCAGTGGCAAACCGCTGTTTTTCGTCTTTGAGTGGACAGCACTAATGACAGTATGCAAGCACAAGTTGGCGCATCTCACCAAGAACATGCCTGTCCAATTTTCTTAATTAGAAAATGTGGCTCTATAAGAAGAAATAGGCCTTTTTTGCCCCCAAAGTGTGGAATAGCTGTAAGGTAATGACATGCATCATTGTTCCCTGTCTTTTCACGCATCAGAAAAACAGAAGTATAACTAAGACCATGACACCTGTTTAAGCTGCAAATAAACTATTTACTGCCAGAAGTATCATGAATATTTTCACTTACAAGATAAATATTTGCACTAATAATAGTCATTCTAATTACTCATATAATGTGATACAAAAATACAGGAGTATTAACAACACTGGGTATAATCCATTTCTTCATACACGATGTTATGGGGCAGAAGACGATTTGGGTCTATATATAGTGACCTGTATATGGGATACCTATAGCTGGTTCTGTCTGATATATTCAAATATGCATGTGATAGACCAAAGGCTGATAAGATATGGGGAAGCAAGGAAGAAAAAGAACTTCGCTGAGCGATATGTAGAACCTGCCCTATTCATATACTGAAAAATACTGTGCCAGTTTCAAAAGTTCCTTAATGATCAGCCTTTTGGAAACAACCTCTGCACAGTCTTTAACTCAGGTGAACTTTGTAAACATTTACTACTTCAGAGTTTTTTAGGAGTTTGCTTAAATCTTAGGTTTCCTGTTGCAGGTACTCACTGCTTTTGTACAATACAACAAAACTAAATGTAGCAAAACTTGCCAGACCATCATTTTATCAACAAGTAATTCATCGTTTTGCATTCCTGAAAAAGAACCATCCTACCTCAACATGCAAAATCACTAAAACACATTTTCTCCCTTGGGTGATCTGCAAATGTGATTTTATTTTCTCTGACATTTCACATGTCAGATTATCATAAACATAAGAAACAAAGTCAAATTGTCACATTCTCACTGAATCTCATCATTGTATATCTCAAAATGTTAAGTAAGTTGGAAGCATAATTGTGGGAGAAAGATGTGACTAGTGAAAGCATTAAGTAACTCCCAACAGTTCCAACTGTTTGCAAATTAAATGTGAACAGGTAGGAACATTTTATTTTAGAGTTTGAAAATTCCACAGGATTTGGTACTATAACAAAGAGACAAATAGAAACCATAACAAAATCAAACATTCCCAAACAAAAGTAGTATCTAAAAATGTTATTTTTAGTGTCTGTCTGTCTGTCTGTCTGTGTCTGTCTGCCTTCCTTCCTTCCTTCCTTCCTTCCTTCCTTCCTTCCTTCCTTCCTTCGCCACCCCATAGCCAAAGCTCTCTGGGCTTATACAGCACAATCTAACCATTGTTAAGTATACTGAAGTCCATTTAAGGGAGTTTTAAACATATCCTTAACCCACATGAAAATCAATGGGCCTGCAAATTGCCAGTGTATCTTACACAGTAAGTAATGCTCAGGCCTATGCTGTGCACCGCAGTGCGTTTGTGCCGGCACTGCAATTCGGCCCCAGCTATCTAGCAGGAAGACAGTTGCAGTGGGCATGGATGATCCTGTGTCATCCTACAGGGCAATTTCCCCCAGCCTGACACACTCCATGCTGTATCACGAGCATCACCAAAATCTTGCACTGAGTCAATGCTGCAGAAAGGGAACACTCCAAATGCTGTTACGTGCATGCATGATGGACTGTGTCCCATGTTGGCCTGTTGATAGAAATAGTTTGCAACATCTTTGTTTTCATGTACTCCAAAATCCTAGAGTTTAACTACTTACCTGCTTGACCAGTTGTAACTGTAACAGCTGCAAAAAGCCTCTGGGAGCGGCTTAAGTCAGAAACACCATTTACAGCTTCAACTTCAAAAGTGTAGTTAGCGTGAGCTAGCAGGTCCATGATGGTGACATAGCTGTCTGCTAATCCAGTTTGCTGGGGCATATATCCAACATTGCTCCCACAGGGAACGCACTCGCCCTGTTCCCAGCTGCATCTTTTGCACAATACCCTGTAGGTCACGTCGTTTCTTCCTCCATTATCTGCAGGAGGGCTCCATTCCAAACTCACTGTAGTTTGGTTAATATTGAAAATAAGGTTCTGTGGTGCGGATGGAGGTCCTTTGTTAAACATAAACAGAAAAAATGGGGTGGGGTGGAGATTAAAAGAAAAATCAGCAGGGGAAATTTAGCTCATTGTTTAATTACCTACGCAAAAGCTTGCCAAGTCATAACCTTTTCATTATATTTACTACGAGTTACCAGAAAGCCTTACTGAACACACTCGGCAAAAAGCTTTTATTTTCCATTAAGGAAACAGGATAGCCTTTCTCTATGTATTTACTACACCTAGCTTTAGCAGCTTTTCTTCTGTGCAATTAAAGGGATAACTTAATGCACCTCTGAAGCTGACTCACACAGAAGTTTTCCAGCTGAAGTTTTGTCGTCCTCTAAAATACACGGAGTAGAATGCATTCAGATATTCCTTAATCAGTTTTGATGTGATTTACAGATGTATTTGGGAACAGCTTTGGCTTCAAAGGACTTACAAAAAGAACCACCAATCTTTACAGGCTAGTCTAGTTACAAATGGAATGTTAAGTCAGATCTCATTACATTTCAATCAGACTGCATTCTAACGCAAGTTACTTTTCATTTCACGTTATTCATTTGTTGCTGTATCACATTAGCCATGCGCTACTGCAAGTCACCGTAGGAGAACCATTTTCTAATTCCTTCTTTGTTACTGTCTAGGCATTTACTCAGAACATTCTCCTGGTCATTCTGGGGAAAACAGAAATGATGTATGTAAATTCCATATTTTCTGCTTACTTTGCCACTTAGTCATAACTTCCATTTGCAAGCACTCCTACTCTGTGTATGAATGGCTGTGGCTGCCTAAACAACATCCTTTGTATTATATTCGTGAATAACTCACTTGTACATGCGACATATGGTGGATCAGTAGGTGCTCTGTAGTAGCTGTCTTCACAATCACATCGCGAAGATCCTTCCCTGTCTGAAAAACTGTGCATAGGACAGCGGGAACACTGTAAATCTTGCGAAGACGACTTATAGAATCCACGGCCGCAGGCTGAGGGAGAATGAAACAGATACTGTTTTTGAACACGCCTGAGTTTTAGGGTATCTCATTTTCAGGTATGCACAAAATATAGAATAAATATTATGAAAATGAACTTTACCATTCATTCACACATTGAACTATTTTCCTCCATTAAAAGTAGCACTTAAGAACATGAACTATGAGCTGGAGGTCTCCGGTTCAAATTGTTGCCTTATCATAATACAGAGTAATAATAGCAATTTAATTTACAAAGCTTCTGCAAGCGTTAGGGTTCAGGTTTCTGTAAGGATTACTGAAATAATGTGCTGGGAAGGATTTGTGCATTGAATGACATATAAAAATGCAAAGTGGTATTGCTATTAGGCAGACGTCATATCCTGGATACATCTGTATGAGGACAGAACTGGACTTTTGGTAGGAACTAATTGCTGCTGTAACAAGGAGCATCAAATGTCAGTACACAAGGCATGGTCCTCTACTTGTTCGATCGGATTATCATAACTATTGCCATCACATTATGCTTGGGTGATAACAGTACTATTATTTTATGTTCTGAACTTTTCCTGGAAAACATTGGCTGCTTGATAAATCTATGTAACTAAACTTTAGATGGTATTTTGGCTTGGCTAAAGAAAACTTCAACAGTGTTAACCAGCTGAAATTATATCATTATGTCAATAGAAGCATGGACTTGCCATCAGCTTTAGCTTCAGTTGTCAGGTTATTGGAAGGGTCCTGAGGAAGGTGGTCGGCCCTGCAGAGCCTTTTGTGGCAGCTGCATAAATTCCATGGCAAAGAAGAAAATGCCAGTACAGATCCTTCAGCTGCAACACTTTCTATTTCTTTATTTTTCTTGCTCAGAGGAAGGAAACAAGGGTTCTATTTTCTTCCCTTTTTTCCTTAATTGTAAATTGTAAGACATTAGGTAAACAATAATAAATCCTACCAACAAATACTCCATTCTTTCATAAAGAACCACATATTGATAGTCTATCCTCAACTCATTGCCTTTTATTTCTTTCCTTTCTAAAAAAAAATCAAAATGAGTGAATAAATAAGTAAATGCAATCATGATAGGAAATGTATGTGGAATGTGTGGCAAAGCAACAATCACATTCCAGATGGTAGCAATGTTGCTTTGGTCTCTGATTCAAACCCACTTTTGACATTTCTTGCCAATCAGCTCATTCTTATCTAGGGTTTCCCATCTAGTTTAGACAGTGTTTTCCTCTATTCTAAAAGTGCTACATCCAGCACTTTATATCTGGAACTTTAGTTAATTTGCTTTTTTTTCTACGATAAATGGAAGACCGCTCTTCTATGCTAAAATTCACTGTAACAAATCCAGACATTAATTCTCTACCATCACTATCAGGGAGCAATTTCTGTTGATCCTAGATAGATCAGGCAATGTCACTTAATAGCTACCCCATAATAGCATGCTCTGTGTAAATGCAAGGAAAAATATGTTGAGTAAAAATGAAACAAAACATCAAAAAGTTAACAGCACACTTTTGCTATCACGCAGGATTGTCTTGAGGAGAAAATAGAAGAAGGATCATGTAAGCTGCCTTGAGTTTCTTAAGAAGGAAAAGGAGGGATATATATGTAGACAATAAAATACATATATAAATAACAGAGGAAGACAGAAAGCAGGAGGTATAGAGAGAGTCAGGGAATATAGAAAACTTCCTGAAGTATCGGTCCATCCAATCCGATATTGCTGACACTGACTGGCAGTGGCTCTCCGGAGTTTCAGGCAGGAAATCTTTCAACCCTACGTGGAGATGCCAAGGTCCAAAACTGGGACCTTCTGCATGGTATGTAAAGGATGGGCTCTGTCCAAGAGCAGCGGGTGGTTCTATGTCAGCAGGGACTGGGAGGTCCCACCCTTTGCAGCTCCTCATCTTTCTTTTCAACTCTATAGAGACCTTATGCATACAATTCATGGTGGTGAATTCCAACACTCAAAACAGGATCACCATGATAGATAGTTCCTATAAAGTGGAAAGGAAAAGTCAAGTGAGGAGCCCCACTGGGAAAGGAGTCCTTGTGCTACAGCCTCCTTGCCTGATGACGTGCTTTTCAGGAGCCAGGCAGGAATATATGTTTACATGAGATGTCTAAAAAACCACACTCCTGCCTTCTTTTCTTATGGAATCATTCAACCATGACTCCCCAAAAGGTGCTGGGCTTCAACATTCATACAGCAACCCGGCAAATGCAACATCAATTTTGAGTATGGGTAAACATAGGTATGTTTCCTGCTTTTCAGCCAAGCAAAATGAATGCTAGCCATTACACTCAGGGCACAGAAAAGACAGATGCACGCGCGCGCGCACACACACACACACACACACACACACACCTCTTCTAGTTTTTACATATTCACTAATTTGTACATCTGAATCTGAGAGCAGTCATACCTTCCTTCTGCCCTCCCTGAATTGGTGCTTTGAGCATGTCTGAACACAGGGAATCCACATTGGTAATATTAATGCATATATCACACAGAGAAGAGCAGCTATTAATACTATTATTGCTGTTTTATTATCTGTTTGATTACTCCTGTTTCACTACAGCTGTTTTATTACAGTTGTTTTACTGTGTTGTTTATTTTTATGTTACATTTTGATTGTATTGATTTCATTAACTAATGTATAACAGGTTTTAAATTCACCTTGGCAGCTTTTAAGAGCTGCACATTAAATAAATAAATACACAAATATCTGTGCCCATCATTTCACGAAGTTTTGTATTACCAGTCTGAATCAGTGCACACACAAACACACAGACCCCCCCCCACACAGAATCCCCTCAATCGAAGTGTTTATGTACCCCCCCACCACCACTTACGCTCCCTTTCTTTCTACAATGGGAAAACAAGTGCAGGTTCAGCAATCTTGAAATTATCTTTCCATGTTATATAACTATTGCACGTTTTAGAGTTCTGTGCTGAAACAGCAGCTGGAACAGCCCTGCGATGTAGAACCATAGAAAGGTAGCTTCAAAGGGGGGCAGAAGGCCATTGGGTCTAAACCCCTGCCGTTACAGGATGCTAACTTACTCCATCCCATTCAGATGGCTGTCCAGGCACTTTCTGAATGTCTGCAGAAAGGGAGAAGCCCGCAAGTTCTGTTGGCAATGGGCTCCATGGTCATACTGCTCTGACAGTGCAGACATTCTTCCTGGTGTCTAGTCTAAATCTGGCTGCTTTTAACTTAAGTTCATTATTCCGTGTCCTGCACTCTGGAATGGACAAGAAGAGAGCTTGTCCATCCCTTTTGCGACAGCCTTTCAGGAACTTGCTGTTGCTGTTAATACTGCAGGCTAGCCAGAGGTTCAGGTAGCGCAACACACCAGGGAGACACTGCAGCAGCTTGTAATGGGGTTCTAATATGACTTTCATCCGAACTGACATGCACAGGATTGCACTGATTAGCTATATGAGCCTACTTGGGGTAAGCTCTGCTAAGGGAGGGGGCTAATTTCGGGACTTCTTTCCCCTACTGAATGACTGAGAGGAATATTGTTTCTGAAGTTAAGTCACAAAGGAGTCTAGAGTCAAAAGTGTTCATCTGAATTACAATGCTATCCTTAGGCTCTAAAAGGTATATTTTCACATTTCTATGCTGAAAGTGCTATGGCAAGAGTCCTCAGTAATGCCACTGAATTTCTGCAGAACTGTCTGAAAAAAAGGACCACAGAACTGGTTAGCTGGAACACAAATTCTGTAGGAGCTGAGGATGTCCTTATTTCAACAGGACTTCCACATTAAAGCAGCGGGATTACTTCCTTTGAAGCAGTTCCTGTGGAAGAAAATAGGAACTACTTCTGAATGGCTATGGATAACATTTGCTGCTCTTACTCACTAGATGAAATGTTGTTAAGGAACGAAGTGCCTGAGAAATTACACTCTATCTTAAACAGAAAAATCTGCTTCAGACCAGAGTATGAAAAAGTAGTGTTCATTTAGTTGCTTAATCCAATGGTAAAATAAACACAATGTTTACATGGATTATACAAGGATATATTCTATGTAAATTCAGAAAATTGCAAGTGAATAATAGCACAAGTATCTCTGAAATTATGACATGGTTTTTTCATTTTATGGACTGTTCTGAGGTCCTTTACTGATCTGAAAGTAAAATGCAACGAGAACATATCTTTATTCTCTCCCAAAGACAAGGACCAGTCATTCTTCATGTTCAAAAATACAACTAAGAAACAGTGATATATCAACTGCTCAAGTGACTAGTTCTAATAATCATGGCATTTGCTAGGAAAGTATTTCACAACAATATCTCTGTATTTCATTGGATAGAACTAAAGGGTACAACAATGTATTTAGTGTCCTGAAAACAACTGTTCTTACCTCTCAAAAATCCCAGTCCTAGAATGTATTCACGTATGTTCAAGAAACACAGTCATCCTAAGGGGAATGGTGCCTGGATTCTAAACATTTGTGCTGACATATAACTCTTCAGAGTCGGCATCTGATCAAGTTATTTTGTTCCATAAATTTGCATACCCCATCCTACTATATCCATAATTGCGTATCAAAATTTTTTATCCTAATAATATGTCTTGAGCTACTTTGAGGGTCTTCTGCCTAAGAAAGCAAACTGTTACGATCAGAGGTACTGGGTTCCAAAAGGTGATCAATACTTTATTTGTGTTAGTGACCTGCTGGTTAGTGATCCAGTCTGGAGCTGGATCTAACCATGAGTAAGAAGGCAAATCTCCACTTGGGGGAGAAAGCAAATACTGAAGTTGTATACAACAAGGAAGAAAAAGAGAAAGGAAGGAAGTTGGCAGAAAAAACTTTACCTAATACAATTCAATATTGTGTTAGATAATTGCCGCATTAGGCAAATTTGCTCTTGTAAGGCTGAGCAAATGAGGCTGCATCCTAATCCTATGAGTTATTGAGACTGATTTCAGCCCCCATCCACAATCATTATAGAATCACAGAGCTGTGTGGGCCTTGTAGCCTATCTAGTCCGATT